CAGAAAATTAATTAATATGCAAATTAGCTAATTAATATATACTGATATCACCCTAAAAACTATCAGGTCTGTGCAGTGTCTTATGACATCTATGTATCAAATTTCATTGAAATGTGATGATTACTACTTGAAATATCAAAAGCTGAAAATTAATTAATTATGCAAATTAGCTAATTAATATATACTGATATTACCCTAAAAACTATCAAGTCTGTGCAGTGTCCTATGACATCTATGTACCAAGTTTCATTGAAATGTGACAATTACTACTTGAAATATCAAAAGCTGAAAATTAATTAATTGTGCTAATTAGGTAATTAATATCTACTGATACATGTATTACCCTAAAAACTATCAGGTTTGTGCAGTGTCTTATGACATCTATGTACCAAGTTTTATTGAAATGTGATGATTACTACTTGAGATATCAGTGAAAAGCCAAAAATTGATTAATCATTATGCAAATTAGGTAATTAATATTGCACAGATTTTTACCCAAAACTAATCAAATCTGCGCATTAGTTTGGAGCATCTGTGTGCCAAGTTTCATGAAAATCCAATAAATGGTTTTTTAGATATCAGTGGAACAGTCATGAAACAGCTAAAAATCAGCTAATTATCATGCAAATTAGGTAATTAATATGCATGGATTTTTACCAAAACCTAATCAAATCTGCGCATTGGCCCAGAGCATCTATGCACCAAGTTTCATCAAAAACTGATGGATGGTTCTTGAGATATCAGTGGAACAGACGGACACACAGACACACACATACACACACACAGACACACTAACTGCAAAGACTCCCTTTTTGTGCTTCGCACACGGGAGTCAAAAAGTAAAACACGGACACGGACGACAACGGACAATCACTCATATGATAAGCTCCGCTCGACAAAGTCGACAGCGGAGCTAAAAATAGAGAATTTGAGATTTTGACATGAAATGAACAAATCTGATAAAGAACCATCTAAAGTACTTGCATGTCAAATTTGAAAACATTCTGACTTGCGGCTTAGAAGAAGAAGTTGAAATTGTAAAGTTGATGACAATGGACAATCAGTAATATGAACAGCTCAACTTTGTCGACAGCGGAGCTAAAAAATGGAAATGAATGTATTTTCTTCAAATACTACATCTTCACCCTTGGAACATTGGTCTTACAAAACAAGTACATTAGCTTTACTTACATCATCCTGAGTATTGGCTTCCTGGAGAATAAATTCTCTCACCATGGATGGACTATATTCCACAATATGAGCAAAGATATCAATGGCAGCTTGCCGAACATCAGCATCATCCATTGCCTATAAAAGGATACATATATTGGTTAATTGTTAAAAGGCAGTACACACAATAGACCATTCAACCGACTAAGTGAACTACATTTTGACGATTTGAGTCAGTACACATGAACTGTATTATGTATCTCTTATCAGATTCACAATGTAAACACACACTCCATAGAGTACACAACTAGAAAACACACATGCATGCCAGTAGACATTGTATTACTCACCAAAATAACTTCTAATGCAGGTAAAATGCCTAAATTTGACAACATCTGAAAATAATTATAAAATCTGTGTTACAAAACTGGGAAACAAGGTAGTTCAAATAAAATAGTATTGTACTTGCTCGGCAATATAAAATTGACAGAAATCTGTATACAAAAGTACCATGAACTAATATTACAACTAGAAAGGACAACCATACAAAAATTATCACATTCCAGCATTACATAATTATAAACTTTTGTTAAGAGCACTGTAAATAGCAGAAGCCATTATAATGGCATTAACACAATAAAAACAGTAAAAGCACATAATAAAATTATGCAGCATGAGGGGTTCAGTTATCATACCTTGAAAAAACCATCCCTATTCTGAAATGTTTGTGCAAATGTACAATATTCCTTAAGAAAGAATACCAGTTCTTTCCGCTTGCCATCATCTGTTGCTTCATCTGTCAATAGCGCAAACAGTTCAGGAAGAAATTTGTCATCATCCTAGAGATAACATGATTGAAATAAAAAAAAATTAATTGGAACATCGTAGACTATCATATGTATAAAACATGTACATTAAAGTTGCATTATCAGATAGAATGTTTGTAGCCTTTGACCTGCAGAGCAGCATGTGCCATATAATAAATGAAACAGTTATAGTATTCAAATCATGTGGGTCACAAGTTATTTTTAAGTGGCCAAACATTACAGAGCATTTCCCCATAGAGTTGCAAATGAATGAGGCAGATGTACAATTTCCTACAAGCTATTTCCAACAGGATTTGCGTGTGGCTGTATATGTGCCTTTAGCCCTTTCTTTTAATTTTCTATGACCTATTTTCAAATGTCTAGATAACAAATCAACTAGGTTCTGAGACGCATTACTTGTGCACACTATGCAGTACTAGCTCATTTTACAAAACATGTTTAAAGACATTCAAATAATTTAGCGGACAATACAACTTCAATTCAGGAATCAGACTATTTTCAATCATCTGGGAAAAGATGAAATGGTTTGGCAAGTTGCAGATATGTGTATAATATACACAGACACATACCAATAGCATTTTCACTTTTTTTCAAGAGAAATTGATAAAATCGCTATTCTCAAATAGAGCTCAGTATATGATTTTTCCACAGAAACTTAATACATCATAAACATTGAAGTGAAAAAACTGTTTGCTAAATGTGCTCTAAACCAGTGCCAAGACTGGTCAATGCACAGATGTGCATTAACAAATATACACTGAGTAATCCATAATTCGTGTACCTGTACAAAAGTACTTGTTTTAAGGTCATCTGAAAGCATGGCACTTTTTGTTATTACGAATATTAAGAATAAGTAGCAAGGTATCAAATGACCAAGTCCTAACATGACTTGCCCCTCCTATCTCAAAAAAGGCATTCATTGCTATAGCAATATCCATATAACATTTGATTTATAGCTACTAGACATGTAACCCCAATACAGTCCAAATGTCAAATCACAGACAACATGTGCAAACACAATGAATAGCACATGTATTTCACTTGAAATGGCCTGAACTCTTCTCCAACACAGTCTCCCACAAACACTGTTACATGAAAACCTCCCTAAGGCTAATAAAACTGTCTACAATCTAACAATGGTATAAACAAAGCTTGTACATGACATGGTATAACATTAGAGAAAAAAAGTCTAGATATAGAAATTTTACATACAGGTGTAGTACACATTCAACAAGTCATTTAAAATGACACAGTCCCCGTTAAATTTTTGAAAGTTCTTTTTGTGCTCATCATATTAAAGTGGAGGGGTTGTCGCGAGCATGTTCTTGAAACTTGAGTCTCAAGTGTCAAGTGTCGTATACAACATATTGTTTATTTACCGGTACATTAAATTCGAACATGTGTTGCACGACGACCCCTTCGGTTTAAGACATAGCAAAGAAAAACATAGATCACAAGTGAAAGCATGTCCAAGTTTAAACAAACAAGATGGCCGCCAGACGGCCAAATTTGATCAAATTGAATTGACATGTACATGCTAAATATCAATGAAAATGATACATGGGTGACAGAGATATAGTAATATGACAACAAATAAAAACAGTCGTTATTCGGCCATCTTTGATCTGATTATGAAACAAAGTGACATGTATGATGTATGTGCCAAATACGAATGAAAATGGTACATAAATCTTGGAAATATAGTAGTAGGGCCAAAAAGTCAGATGGCTGTCAATCGGCCATCCTTGATCGGATTTTGAAACAAATTGTCATGGACATGTATCCTAACGTGTATATAAAGTATGTGCCAAATTTGAATGAAAACTGACAAAGCATGTCTAAAATACAACAAGATGGCTGCCAGTTGGCCATTTTGAATTGAATCACTAAACCAAAGCATGTGCATGTGTTCCACATAAAGTACTAGGCACATGCAAAGAATGAACAGAATCGGTCTAAAGGATTCTGAAATACGACTCCGGACAGACAGACGGAGACCAAAGTCCCAACTAATGCTACACTATATTGTACCAGTATACAAAAAGCTGATTATCAAATATAACAAACAACTACCTCGTAAAAACCCCATGACGATTTAACCAGGTCACAAAGTCTTGCTAAACATCCAGTTGAATTACTTGTACCATTTGTGCTAAGTAAAGTGACAAAAAACTAAGATGCTCTGATTACCAGGTAGTCAAGATAAAAAAAAAATTTTAAATTTCCTTTCCCCAAATACTATGTGCATTGTAATTGTACTTCTCTAATAATATTTCCCCTAATTTTTTAGACATTAAACAAGTCAAGGCATCCCCAGTTATATGCCCAAGGCCTTTTTTACCGAGCAATGGGTTTAATCTTAAAAATAAATCATTTATTAAAATATGGGTGTAAAATTGTTTTATTGAATGAAAATTGTGACTGGTGCAGTAGGTCTGTTTGGTTTTTAAAAGAGCAGTTTGTTTTTTTGGTTTTTAGAGGGGAAAACTTCCATAAGCTGTTTTTACACCCATTAAAGATGTACTTTTTTTTTCATTCAGTTTACCTTTTAAAAATTGGGAATCGCCTTTTTTTTTAAATTCCAATTTTTTTCAACAAAATCAGTGCCAACATATCATACAACAACATTGTGGTAATTCACTTCCCCATTGTATTAAAAAAACACCATCTGCAATATTTGGAAATTCCAGGAGAACTGCGCCAGTTGAACATAGGCTTCTGACTTGTTCATAATGAGTTGACTGGTCAAAAATTGAAAAAAAAATATCAAGACACAAATTGCTTTGCACCGAGAGTTCGTGTACGATCAAAATCATTTGACAACAAAGACAATTCAGATGGTATGCAAATAATATTGTAATAAAATGCATGTATTTTTTGTGAGCATTTATTTTTTATTTCTTCATTATAAAAGTGTTGTGATTTGTGTCATTTTACCCAAATTCAAGGTGAACAAAAATTGTCATTCGGATAATTTTTCGGAAGGCTAAAAAAAATTCTTCATCTTTTCCTTTTCACATTTTGAGACCCATCAGGAAAGTATGGTATTTTTTGTTCAAGTAGCAAGAATTCCTATTTATAAAGTGATCTAATTAGATAGTTTGGTTACATGTTGTGTTATTTGGTTACATTCAGTTTCCAAAGAATATAGTACATGAATATCGAGTACCGATACAATATTACATTAGCTGCAATGACATAGTTACATGCATAATCAACTTTCTATTACTAGCAGCTCAAATATATTTTTACAGGTAATATAAATTTAACTTTTCTATCTCCAAAATTTGTACAACCAATTAAAATACGGGAAGAAACTGGTAAAACATTCATCGAATGAATGCTTGTTAATATTATGTATTTAGGGGAACACTTGACCTCTAAACATCTTGAAATCATGGATAGATAGAATGTGCAAATTAACATTGAGATGATTCATCCTCTCTTGAGAGTACATGAATATTTAAATAAAACCGTGATATTACCAAAACACCTAACATTGCTAAACTGTCGTGTCTGCTAAAATGATTTCATCCATAATGCCAAGATGACTAATGGGGAAAGACTAATATATTGAATACGTAAATATACATAGTATAAAACAAGTGATAAAATGCGACTGAAATCAGGTCAGATCAAGTCCAATTTGTATATAAGGCCATGTTGCAACTGACTTGTACGACAGAACTATACACATTAATACATTTAACAGACTATTCAAATCCAAAAACAGATGTACATTCAAAGATGTTGAAATCAAGCAATGTATCGTCTAGCTTATTAATAAAAAACATTTTCTCAAGATTGCATTCTGCAAATGATTTCAGATGACCTTTATTTGTATATGTAGAACAGATGACTTTACTTAAGGATAC